GGAAAGCGCATTATATTGCGTGACGTCCACAACTTAGTGCAACGTATCAAGGCTAAGTGCCGTGGGTCCGGGACTGTGGAGGATCGTTTAGAGGCTGTTCTCCGCAAGTTTTGTAGTAACCGGGGAAATACTGCTACCGTTCTAATAGACGATGCCAAGAGGACGCAAACCATCACGATTCAAACTTGACAAATGAAGCGGGTTTTTTTAGGCGTTTCCTGAGGTAGTCATGCTGGATTCGACAATGCACCAACGCCTCCAAGTATAAGCTCTTTAGCTTCATGATTGACGATGTCTTTGGCCATGTAAGTGTTCATTCTTTTGGTGACCCGTAGTTGAACAATTGGTGATCTGTTGGTGATCTGTTGGTTGATCACGTGACTAGTTGATGCTGAAAATCTAACTGATTTCGTCGCGTTATGTGTGTTGCTTTCATGTGTTATTACAGGGACAATATGTACAACACGCTCCGATTGAGAATATGAGCCATGCCTCTATGTCAAAGGCGGTGTATGAAGGGCGAAATGCAGTCAATGTGAATGGCGTTGAGGACGCTGTGGACTTGATGGTAAAGGCACCAGATGACAAGGAGTACGACCGCGGTTTACGCTACATGTACTATCTTCTCGATGGATTTGGCGAAAAAGGAGAACTCCCGGAGCCAAAACACCCTCTTCTCGTTTATTTCATGCGCAATTGGGATGCTTGCAAGGACATGTGGGCAGTTTAGGAACGGGGACACGTCGCTCATCTTGGTAGCCACACCAACAACCGGTAGGTTCTATCTTACGAATTTCATTACATGTATAATACTTTCAGCTCATGTTTACCATCGTATTAGATTGGAATCGGCGTGGGGTGACCTGAAGCAGATACTACGACCGGAAATGGAGCTCGATGAGTGTGTCGAAACGCTTATTCTCTTACAGTCGACGGGTGAGCTCGAATATACTTCTCAGTTCCATGTTGTCGGGTCACGGCACTACCGCGGAGCTGACGACGTTTTACTTAGATCGGCGTCTTTAGTTAGCCCTCATGCGTTTAACCTCGTCCAATGGGAGTACGAGCTTTTCAAAGGGGGGGTTATCGTACCAAGGGCGTTGGTTACAGGACATAATTATCCAGTTGACCTCGCAAACCACTGAAAAGGAATATGTCGTGAACGTAGCGGTACGTTATGATACGTGTACCGTAGACTATGATGGTTGGCGTCACTGATGATTGTTGCTATGCTGTCTTAGACGTACACTTGTTCCTGTTTCTTCATGCGTACGATGCTACTTCCGTGCCATCACACGATATTTGTTCGCTCCAAACTCAAGAAGAACACAAACATTTTTGGGCTTGGTGGAAGCGATGCGTAAGTTTGGGGGAATACGCAAGCCAGGGTGTTATCCCTACAATTGGCCCTGCAGATGACATGTCGTTCATCGAGACCATTGAGACCAAGTCAAACGACAGCATTAGCGATTGTAACAGCGAAGAGCTCGATACCCTGTTAAGCGAAATCTCCAGACCGAAGTCTAAAGCGGCGATGGATTCTGGCGAGTTAGTGAAAGGGTCCAACGAGTTCGTGAAAGGGTTTAACGGGTTGGTGAAAGGGCCCAGCGGGTTGGTGAAAGGGCCCAGCGGGTTGGTGAAAGGGCCCAACGAGTTGATGAACTCTCCTATCGCTTTGACAGTTCGGAAAAGGTGCGCTGATGATAAATCAAGTTACCAAGAAACCAACTCATCTTCGAACGATTGCACTATACCCTTTAAGATTGTTAACAGTACGAAGAGAAAAGGTCGTCCAAAAATCCGGAAGAAGCAACAACGAGAAGCAAAACGCATTCGTATGGAATTATCCACGAGGCAGGCGAACGCGTTGGTTCAAGGGACGCTTGTACCAGTAAAGGATCTCAGTCTGGTGCGAACAACTCTCGAGTGCAGCTTCAACGTAACCGACGCGCTTCCTGTCCTACATAGCATCACTGAAGTTGATGCATCGGCGTGGAAGTCAACCCGGATCGTGCAAATAGCACGGAAAAAGAAAGTTCTGCGTCAGGTCGCGATTGTGTTCCGAAAAACTATATTACGAAATGTCTCGCTGGAATAAAAACTTTCCGAAATTCGCTCCCCAAAGACCACGAAGCAGGCAGGATGGGTGTCACCATATCCAAGCTCGGCACGTACACCGAGAAAGACTTAATCACGATCAAAACGTGGAGAGATGAAACCCAAAATTGGAAGCCATAAGTAATCTTGCATCCTGGATCAGACTGTCAAAGTTTTCTCGGGTTACACTACCAAGACCATTCAACAACTGCATCGGTGTTGACACGACAGGATGCGCAAATTGAGTAAAGGTGATAGACATCAGCTCTACCGTATCGACTCAGTTTGGAAACAACCCCGTGTATGGAATGGCTTGGTTTCGACGATCTCTGTGGCTCGATGACGCTTGTTTCATGCTTGTAATAAGCTACTTAATGGACCAACGTTGTATTGGAGGAGTGAACCCGTTGTATGCGAGGATGGCTGACAACGACATGAAGCGTATATGATAGAATCAACGTCGCCGTTTCAAAGAGGAACCGAGTTGTTCTGGTGCCCGTCTACTTCGAGGCTCACTGGTCAGGCGTTGTTTTCAACTTCACGGACAAAAAGCTGGTGTATTTTGACCCTATGCGAACTAAGTCAAACTATGAATCCATGGAAAATATCGTCAACAAATACTTCGGTGAGCACGTGTCAGGACTCGAGAAAATTCGCCAGCGCGCCCCACAGCAAGAAGACATGCATAGCTGTGGACCTCTAACGCTGCTGTTCTTCGAGTCGCAGCATCCCAGTGCCAAGCGTTTCGCAGGAGATCATTCTGTATCTGCGCTTTCGATTCCTGTTTCTAACCAGCAAAGGCGTTTTCTGTCAGAAGCCTCACAATACCACCTCAAGCGATAGGACTGATTAATTTCTCGTAATACACAACCTCTAGTATGCTCACCTCCGCCAAGTTGTTTGAGTGGACAGGGGGGGGGCATCAGAACATTTCATCGTAGCAATGCTGCTGATATGCACAAATGCACTAAGTGCCCCCCCCCCCCCCCCACATCCGCTCCACATTTTAGCAACACCACAGGAAACTCTACAAACGAGTCCAAATGTAGAGATTTTACACACGCTAGGTACTGTATTTTATCATAAATTACGTAATATACGACGCTCGTTGGTGAGCCGTTGGTGAATCCCAACGAGACTCGCGCAACTGACCTATTAATTGGTGGTTTCGTTTGTGAAGAATGTTCTTTTTATGAAATTTCGTTGGTGACTCCAACAAGGTCCTTTCTGTATTGCTTCTGTATAAGAAAAAGCCGAGGTAACGGCTCGTCGAATGTGCGCGCAGGTGCAGTTGCTGCGAAGCAGAGGCTGGAGATGCGTTACTAGTAATAAATAGATACGCACCAAAGTCAATCTTGCCGGTGAACATAAAATAGCTTTGCAAGAAGCCTTCGTGCACCCTATACCATATACGTATGGATTATTTTCGCTGGAAAGGCGGAGTGATTTTTTTTTAAATTATAAGTTTTTTTAATTATTAAAATAAACAAAATAAAAATTTGATATACCACACATCGCTTCCTCAGACAACTTTGTGAAGACTGCCAGTCAAACATATGAGCTCCACGAATGTCGGACACCCGTAATAGAAGGCCAAATCCCCCGCCCCCGACGACTACCAGTCACAAAATGTACAAACATGATTCTGTTCGTTTAGCTAAAATCGGTGGACTATAGACTCAGCCGACATTTGCGAATTAAAGTGGGGGCGGCAACCGTAGTAACATTGGTTAGGCTGTTCAGCCAGCTAAAGCTGTCATCTCAGTAAAATTTATCTAAAATATGCAAAGCAGCTATACATGTAAGCCTGGACACGTGGAACCCAGATTCTTGGAGCTACCATATATAGGTATTGTATTCGCGTGCTCGCCGTGAGGAGCCCCCACCACAGCTTGTTTGTAGTTGAATAGCCGCGATAGCGCGCTTGTTGAGCGCCCGAAGCATGTCGTCCTGTTCTATTTTTTCCTTGTTCTTCTCCCTTTCCTTTCTCGGCGTTGAATAGGCAGCAATATCAGACCACCAGCACATTGTGAAGATAACCATTGTTGTTGGAAGGGTTCAAGGGGGCTTACAAAATATGGCGCTTGAAAATGCATGAAGAGCTTAATTTGGCGATCGGTAGTTTTGAATTCGTCCTTCAATATTAAAAAAGGTCAGATATTGCAGAATGCAATTTACTGAGTTCTGGTCGATACTTCCTCATTAAGGTGTGGTCGATTCGTTCTGGTGGAACGAACTAGCGCGGTGCACCGAGCATGGTACTAATGTGTATCTTAATCACTCGCACGTCGAGCTCGAGAGCAAGCACGACATTCTGAGTGACATCTTGTCAACTGAGAATGGTTGATCTTTTTCAGGCCTCGAGACGAAAGACAGTGGTGCGATTGGAGTGGCTATGACGATCGTCGATTTGCTACAAGGCGCCAATTTATGGCTAACAATAAACGTTTTATGTGGCATCTCTTAACCAAATGATGAGTCGGTGTTATTCATAGAGAGTTTTCGCAGCTTTCCCATTCCTATTCCCAAACATATGTATACGATTCTGCAGGGGCAAAGGAAGGCTTCAAATCTATAGGAGCACACCTCGTTTCCGGTAGGCCACAGGCTAAAAAGTAATTTATTCGTATATTATGTATAATATACATATATTATGGACCTTGGATACCAGTGTTTTTTTACGATTCAACGTTATATGGCGCAAACAAGACAGTTCTGATTTAAAAAGCAATATTGATTATAAGCTGCGATATTTTCAAATCTAACTCTATCACTTTCAATGCAACAAGCTTGCATCAGTGATAAACCGATATCTATAATAAGATTGTAGCAGATCGAAAAACTCTATTTGCAACTAGTGAGAGATCGTATTATCTTTAAAATATGCGAAATTCTCGAAATCTCAGCCACTGACTTGAGAGTGTCCTGAACGACAACAATCACTTAGTCTCGATCACTACTCAACCCGAGAAAAGCAAGATGCCAAGCACCACCACCCAAGTCTCAGAGCACCTTAATCGTCAGTGGGAGGACGAGACCTCAAATCTTGTCGCTAGCCACGAAACCTTCGGTGATGTTGCTCGCCATGTCGAGGATGGGGCGGCTGATGCTGGCTCCCCTATCCTCGCCGAGTATGCTGGCTCGGGTGGTGACAACACCCTCAAGGGCATGGCAAACTTCTCTGCCCCCGAGCTGGACGCGCTCTGGGCTCTTGTTGAGCCTAGTGTAATGATTGTATGGACGCAAGGTTGGGGGCGTAACCTTCTGTTTCGGGGAAGGACGCTTTGTTCTTCACACTGACCGTGTTGAAGCACTTCGACACATGGCACAAACATGCGATTGATTTTAACATGGGTGTGTCAACGCTGAAGAAAATGATGTATCGCTTGATTATGACGGTCGGGCCTGTGTTGTACACCCAGCAGGTCACGAGTGCCAAGATATCTGAGCAGATGAAAGCTGGAAACACCTTCACAAACTACCCACATGATCTCTACGGTACGGACGTCAAGTCCCAGCCAGATTATCGAGTAGCGGATGCTTTACAGAACATAAGGTCTATTTCTCAGCCCAGCACAAGTTGTACGGCTTCAAGATTGAATGCTCTGTCGCTCCACCTGGTGTTGCTGTTGATGTCTCTGCCCACGCGCCCGGATCAATGCCGGACCTCGCGCTGATGATCGACCAACTTTCAATGTACCACCAGACGCTTCGCAAGGAGGACGGATCGCTCCCTGAAATAGGAGCGGAGCCGACACAGACTTCTAACATGCGGACCGTATTGGTCGACAAAGGGTATCAAGGGGCTGGCTGAGTGCTTCGCACAATTCAACCCAAGAAACAGCCGCGCGGTGGAACCCTCGACCGAGATGATATTACCCGCAATAAGGCTGTTTCAGCGGATCGTGTTCTCGTTGAAAATTTCTTTGGGCGGATGTGCATGTTCTGGAAAGCAGCCTAAGCGACCTTCAAGTGGAGTGAGAACCGATTTGACAGTGTTGTTAGACTTTGCACAGCCTTAACCAACTTCCACATTGGTTTAATGCCAGTGCGGGCTCGCGATAGTGATCATTACAAATCATTCTCTCATGATATCAGTCTATGGGAGAGTGCGTCAGAACTCAGTGAGCAAGAGCTCAGCTTCAGTATCGTATGCGCCAGCAGCTGCGATCCTGCCCTTCGCCATATTGCCCTCGTTTATTGGCGTCTCAGCTCCATCCCAGTACGAATCGGACGACCAATTCTCATATGCTTTTCAGCCCAGGTATGCTTGCTTCTAGCTTTCTAAGTCAACAAACATTGCATTTTGGCTCTTACTCTACGCTTGACTTTCCAACTTGCCGTCAAAAATGGGTGTAATCGGACTTCGTGCAGCTAGACAGGATTAGGCAGCTACTTCATTGCGGCTAACAACAGCGGAAGTCGCTTATGTCAGGTGCCCACTAATACCACACTGCCCTCTTAAACTCCACAGTGCACTACAGGGGTTGGAAGATGATGTTCACAGTGCTTCACAGTGCTTCGGCCCGCCACCCCCTTGGCTAATTGATGGCAAGTTGGAAAGTGAGGAGTCTATTTTACCTGAGGCGGCTGCACTTCAATACCACTTGATTTATATAAAGGCAGAACCCATTTGGTATTGAAGCAGTCCGTAATCCTATGAAATTTAACGTTTGGGCCACAAATGTAGCCAACTGTTTTTCAGAGGATCGTACATATCACAGAAATAACATGCTGAACCAAAATTTGTGGCGAGATGCAAATCCTTTGGAAAAAAACAGTTAGAATGCGATATTCAAGTGTCTGCTATCCGAAAAATTGTGTGTTTTACGAAAAAGCATTAAATTTGGATATAAGTGACTTTTACAAGAAATATTTCACCATAGCGTAAAGCTGCCGACTGCGGCCGACACTGGCCGACGCTTCGGTGATTGGTCAAACACAGTCTGGTCACAAAGGAACGTTAGGTTTTATTCTTAGTGAGGTTATTTAATTGACTGG